CCGAAGCTCTGAGCACCTCCAAGACATGCACATGAGGTTTTATAGGGTTAATTACAAGTATGGGCTACTAGGCAATAAGGCTCAAACAACAAAAAGCGAGGAATCAGTACACTGGCGCTTATCAATTTGGAACAGATCACGTTACTGACACTTGCTGAGCTTGGATTTATGAGTTAGCTTGTTAGCCCAATAAACTAACACTAAACTTCAGATTTATGAGTTAGCCAGCAGAACTCAGATCCGTAATCCGACACTTGTTGCACTTAGATTTGTGACTTAGCTTGTTAGCCCAGCTGGTCTTTTCCTTCACATTCCCCCATCTTGATGCTTTCACAACCCTTGTTGGAGTAAGCATCATCATTTACCTGTTGCAGGGGCTCATAATTGGAGGCTACATCTGAAGTTTTATAGCCTCTATTTGCTCACTGACAAAGCGGGTCAGGAAGTTTAGGACACAGGGCCCAAATAGCAGAACTGCAAAAATCAGGAGTAAGGGACCTATGAATGGTGCCAGCCAGGAGGTCCAGCCCCAGGGGCCTGTCTATGGGCTCTTATCTAAAATATGTTTTCTCTTTTACACTTGGTCTTGTAACTCTTGAACCATTCCTCTGACAATTTCTGATTGATTGGCATAAAAACAACACTCTTCGTTTAGGAAGAGGCATAGTCCCCCCTCTTTGGCTGTGAGTAGGTCCAGACCCCTCCTGTTTTGTAAGACCACCTCGGCTAGAGAGTCAATCTGATTTTGCAGAGTTCCCAGGGTTTCTGCTATTTGTTGGAGATCGTGGCTGAATTCACCTGTAAGCTGAAAATACAGGCCGGTACATGGACCACCTGTCACCCGGTTCTGTGCAGGTGCATTGTGCAGCCAAGGACAGTGAGGGCATTAGCGTCAGTAACATCAGACTTATGAATATCTTAGACATGATGCTGCGGTGATGGCACTGATTATAACAAGGTATAAAATAGCTACCAGGATTCTATGGCCTATGTTCCAGTCAGGTGGGGAGGCGCTAGCTAGCCTCACTGCTAGTACGCAGACTAGTATAGCAAACAAGGAAAGAGGCAAGGGAGCACAAAAGAAGTACATTTAACAGCTGCTTTGAGCTTTTCTCAAGCTTCGGCCATGCGTTGACTAGCCAGCTTCCGGGTGTGGCTAGAGCAGGGCTCGTCGATCCTTTTCTGTTTCTTCTTGATCTTGATCTTGAGCGGGTCTCCCGGGACACTCTCAATTTTTCAGGGACCTTCCATCTGAGGTGCAGTCGCTCTCTTGACCCTGGAGTGGTGGATCCAAGGGATGATTCCTGCAACTTTAACAGCTGTAGGAGTAGATAATACCACTAAATATGGTCCCTTCCATGTTGGTTTGAGAGGTTTCTTTTTTTAATCCTTCACCCATACCTGGTCACCTGGCTTATGGGGATGCACTTGGAACCCTAATGAATTTTTTTTTTTATCATCCAACCCCAAACTTCTCGTAGTACTTTTTCTAGTCCCAACAGTTGTTGGTGGAGCCCTAAATTTTCTATTTCTGGGGTGGGATTTCTCATCCTGATTAAAGATGGCTGTCACCCATAGAGGATTTTAAAGGGATAGTACCCAATATTAAATCTTGGGGTGCATCTAATTTGCAACAGAGCCAGGGGTAGAATGTCCACCCAGGGGAGCTGGGTTTCTTGGCTGATTTTAGCTATCATTTGTTTTAGAGTTCTGTTCATTCGTTCTGCCTTTCCTGAGCTTTGAGGCCGGTATGCTGTGTGCAGGTTCCAGCGGACGCTCAATGCCTTTGCCAATTGCTGTACAATTTCTGCCACAAAGGCGGGTCCATTGTCAGACCCGATGGAGGTAGGCATTCCAAATCGAGGGATAACATCCCTGAGGAAAGCCTTTGTCACTTTCTTTGCTTTCTCTGTCCTGGTGGG